CTGTACGCATCACCTCCGAAATAATAAAACAGTGCAGGGANAGAGGTGGTCGCATACTAATCTGGTTAAGATCCGATCAGTGGATCATAAGATATATATATATATATTTTTTTTTTTATATATGAGAGTTGAAGTTTAAAAAAAATTACTTGTTTTAAGTAAAAGTTTAGTTTTAAGTTAATTAATTTTGGTTTTTTTCGTGAATATTGTTAACAACCTACTTTTTTTAATTTTTCTTAGCGTTACCGCGTATTATAAGCATTAACTTCGACCTTCCATGCGTTTCTGATTTACTTCATATCTTTGGTGGTATTTTGAACTAATAATGTGTGTTTTTTAAGCAAAGCTGTTAAGTAATGATTATAAATTGTATTGATTACCGATTTAATTTTTTTCTTTTAAATCTGCTAAATAATTAATTACCATTATTTCCACTTTTAAATTAATAATTACCGAGTGCCATTAAAAATAATCAAAAAAATAGTCATATTTTTAGCCAATTGGTAGAAAAAAAATCAAGAATAATCAAAAAAACTAATGATATTAGTTTTACAATAAATTTAATTATTTATAATTAGCTACATATTAATACGCTAACGAAATCCTATACAAATCTACTCCTCCCTACTGCTCCTATGTTTCTCAACCGATATTGCCATTAAGCCACAATCACTCGCTGACCTTAAACAAATTGGTCAAAAATAGTGTTCTTCGAAAAAAAACATGCAAAATCCAACGGATATATTAAAGAAAAAAGTTTTTTTAAACGAAAACAAAGTAAAGTAAGATTTCTCAGGCCGGTGTTATCAACAAGAATTATAATTGTAATTATCATTAAAATATAATTTGTTTGTTTCAAATAAGCGGTTGACAAAATGTGATCAGCAATCCAGTATCCTCTCAATTACTGAAGCTTTTTTGAGGCAAGTTCCATCAGTTGAACTCAAACTTAATTAAAATTCATATCATCGGTGATACTGCAAACGCGCCATGTCATTTATTACTTCTTGTGCTGGAATGATCGATCATCTGTATCTGAACGCATTTGTAAATATCTCTACAACCGTAAACCAAATACAAGCCTTTCCATCTCTATCCGATGAAGTACAACGATAAATAGAAGTGTTCAGACAAGGGTAACGGATCATCTGAGTCCAAGAAAGTTTTGGTGAATCACCCTTGTGAGAAACGCACTAGTGCCGAATTGGTTCGGTACTACTTAGAGAACTTAGAACCATGACTAGTACGTATTCATTTTCTTTTGCATGCTAGCAACTGGCGAATTTAACATTGCGGTGCCCTACGAAACTTCGACAACTACAATAGCCCAACTTCGCTCTGGCTATTGCAGCAGGCTAAACTCTTACCTGAGCAGAATCAATGCAGATGTGCCCAGCCAATGCCCGGCATGTGGAGAGTCGCCACATGACTCCCGGCACCTCTTCACATGCCCTGAGAACCCCACTCAGCTGACGCCCCTCTACCTATGGACAGACCCTGTGGAAGTCACACACTTCCTGGGCCTCCCCCTAGCTGAAATAGACGACAACGTTGACGGATGAACCGACCCGAGCGGGGCTTAGTAGCCGCTACAACAACGAAAGTTCGATAGCTTCCGCTTCATCCCTTTTTCGATAGGTCTAAACCACTTCTAAAATCGAAAGCGATACAAGTAATTTTTAAGTAAAAAAACACAACCGACTTTAATTTAGGATTATCGTTATTTCTTATGATCCAATGATCGGATCTAAACCAAGTTAGTATGGGACCAGCCCTAAGATACCACCTTTGCGATAAAAAAGAATTCGGTTAACGTGGTCCAAAGTTATGCGGTAACATATGTATGTACATAAAAAAAATATTCCAAAGAATTGATAACCTCCTCCTTTTTTGAAGTCGGTTAAAAAATTAATTATTTTCTTTTTGGTTTTCCCATGACAGCGATTAAAAAAACTTATCAAAGAAATGTAATTAGAACTGGGTATTTGAAGACACGTGTACATACCTTGGCTGTAGCTGAGTGTGCAGATGTGCTTGCTGTTATTGGTTAGATTCCAGAAGGTCGCAGGTTCGAATATCATCAGTTAAAATTTGTATGTACATTTTTGCTTTGTGTTTCCAAACTATGAAAAAGCATCCGTGAAGTGCACAACGTAAGTATATTCGAACGAAAAAACCGCCAAATAAATATCTAGTTTAAGTTTACCTTCGTAGCGTATTTAGTGAGAACACTTTCGTAGATTTGACGAAACTCGAACCTACGATGGATTCAGTGTAACTAAAGCGCCGAGGAACAATTCTCTCCAAATGTATTACACTCTCACGAAAATTGTTCAAATTTTTGGTTGGACCATTTTTTCGACGACATGGACAATAGATCGGGTCGGACTCCATATGAAAGAAAAGTGTCAAGGACGAAAATTTTTATCACCCTGAGTCCTTTCTAAGAAAACCTTAAATTTTTTGTGACCCAGTCTACTTGATTGTTTTAATGATGTTTAGGTCTGCGAAACTCTTCTGTGCATGAGCCTGTGTTGTCACCCAGTCCAACCTATCCTAACCTAAAATACCGTTACCCCAGTATCAACTAATGTCTGGCGCCTTGAATTAACTAAATAATAAATAGGTAAACGTAAACAACTCGTTATCAATGCATTTAGCTGATACACGTTGTTTCTGTTTTCAAGTCATTGTTCGAAAACAGGTTGTGAGCGCTAACAATTTATCAAAGGAATATTTATACACAACGTAAAAGCTAATTTTGTAATAGCTGTGTAAATTATACTTATACGTGCATACTTGCATATAGAAATAATGTTTAAAAATTAATGACTTTGCTGATACAATTATAATAAATTATCATAATATTTTCCACATAAGCTTCAGCTTACAACTAGGCCAGATTTACTAGTACTCAGCATGTTAATTTAGATTAACGTACTTAGCTGTGCAACATGCTTGTATTAGAGTAGATGTTCCCAAACCTTTTTTTTCTCGTAGACCCCTTTCAAAAGTTGATTGGTTTCGGTGGACCCTGCTGCTACATTTCTAACATATTAACAAAGCTCGTCAAAAAATGTGAAGATTAGATCTTCAGAAACTAACAATAGAGAAAATACCGAATCTAGAAAAATTGATGACAAACAACCAAGCAAGCAAAAAGCCCAAAAAGCGTTCCACTGTCTCGCCTTCTTCAAGGCACGATGGGCAAATGGAGTTGTCATTCACGTTTTTGTTGTTTGTGTTTGTGCCACCTGAAGTGACCAGTCAGCAGTTCTAGAAGTTGTCTGCAGTCCCATCTGCTCAATGAGACCAAAAAACTAGATAGAACTTCTGAGATTGAAGGCAACATGCCCACCCGCATCCCCTCAATGTCCCCAGTGATGAACGAAGTGGGGAGTGCTATAACTGGTTGCATATCGAGCAATGCCTGGTTGTTGTTGTTGTTGTAGCGGCTACAACAACCCCGCCCAGATCGGTTGGTATCTCAGTCGTTGTCGTCAAGTTCCACTAACGGCAACCCTAGGAAGCGTGCAGCTTCTGCGGGGTTTGCCCATAAGGACAAGGTCGTTAGGGATGTCGGGTTTGCCGGGCATGCGAAGAGATGTTTCGAGTCATGTGGGGTCTCTCCGCATGCCGGACATTCATTCGGCACATCCTCATTCAGCCTACTCAAGTAGGAGTTTAACCTGCTGCAGTAGCCGGAGCGAAGTTGTGCAAGTGTAGTGCGCGTCTCCCGAGGCAGATGAAGCTCCGTCTCGTCAATGTCCGGGGGTGGTGTGCCCAGAACGGCATTCACAGGTCTAGAGTCTACATAACTCGAGACTGAGTCCCTGTGAATGCCGTTCAAGGCCTGTCTGTAGGCTGTCGGGTCCAGAGGTTGCTTAATGAACCTCTGGACTTCGTCCGTTAGTTCATATAGATGCCTCCTGACGTGCCTAGGCGAGGGCTCCTCTGCAAGCAGCTGTCTGCTCGGGTGGCCACTTCTGTGGCTCCCGATCAGCAATGCCTGGTCGAAGCCGACTGTGGCCAAATGGTCAGATGTCTGATTACCAGGTACTCCCGGGTAACCTGGCACCCAGAGTAAAGCAAGCTCGTTATGTTTACGAGCATAATTAAATCGAGAGAAAAGTGAAGTTTATCCCCACTAACTTTGAAGAAGAGCTCAGTTCCTGACCCACAGTCAGTTTTGGAGCCACCAGTAAAGACTCGAAAATGTGTGAGGCCTGGCTGGAATTAAAACGGCATTTAGCCTCAGGGAACTCAACGTTATACAATCTCCTCAACAAATGTATCCTGTAGCATTGAAAAGACACAAGCGCTCAAATCTCTGTCGCCAGCAATTTCCGCCTTGCCCAACTCAGTGTTATAGCAACATCCGTTTATTTTTAGTCTGCAGGTGGTCTTTAAGGATTCCCTAAGTATGAAGACACACAGTTATGGTAAGTGCAGCAGTGCGTCAAGAGCACTAAACACCGCTCAAAAAAATTATTGTTAAATAATGAGGTTATCAGCAACCATTTTGGTTCTTTACTATCGAAACCAAATAACTTTTCGTAGACCCCCACTTACAACTCGTGGACCCCTATATTTGTTTCACGCCAACGTAGACCCCCCGCCGAGTCTCCCATGGGCACCTGGGGGTCTACCTGGACCACTTTGGGAATCACTGTATTAGAGGAACTAAAATAGCGGCTGCGGCATTAAGCAGCGTTTGAATTAATGCGCCAGCTATTGATAAGCGACCGCATAGATTACATGTGATAAGCTTTTGGTATGCACACGGGCCTCAATATGGAGCTAGCAAATAATCGCTGTTCTATTAGCATTGAGGATTGAACAAAAAAAAAAGGTGAACTACATATGTATATACGACTTGCATTCACGTTAAAGCTTTTATTTTATTCTATTATTTTTTATAAATACTTTAATTAGTATTAACGATTATTACAAGAGACTTGAAGTTTTATTTTATTACAAAAATATTTTACATACATATATGCAAATAAGTAAGTATTATTTTTATATTTGGTTTTAATATTTTTATATTTGTATTTGCATGCGATTAGAATAGCTTTTTGAAGTTCACCTTAAATGATGTAAAGCTATAGTGTTCAATCAACCGCATTAATAGATAATTGTTGATTAAGAAGAATAAAACACCTTGTGCGCCGATCCAGTAGAATGTGTTCCACGTCCTGAATTCAAAAAGATATGCAGGCAAGAGCCATAGTCCCTGCGCCAACAACCACATACTAAAGTAGCTAATCGCACGCATCACTGAAATCGATTGCAAATTGTTGAGGCAAAGCGGCAACAGCGCCAGATACCAGACAAAGTACTGCGAAGTCACCACCGAGTTAAAGGTTACCATAACAAACGCCAGCGCAAATACACAGAAGGTTAAGGTTTGTCGAAATTGGCCAAAGCTGAAGCTCAAATAGAGTAGCAAAAATAATTGTGGAGCCAAAATTAACAACTTCTCAACGAGTGACATTTCCATCGCATTTCCGCTCAGATATTGCACCAGAAAGTACAACGAAAAGTTATGTCGCACATCCCGTCGCACAAAATGATACAAATACGCTTCATATATGTACTGCCAACCGTAGATGAAGTAGAAGAAACCGGTAACAGCAAAGAGGGCAACACATGTGCCCACAACTAGCAACACCTGTTTGTATGAGGGAAATATTAGTTGCCGTAGAAGATCGCGTGCACTGCGTGTTAGACTCGTTGACAAGCAGAGATAGTAGGCGAGGCTAAAGAGCAGCGGATATAGGCGCAGATGTATGGCAAAGCCATGCACCAAGCCCGCAGCGAAGATCAACCAATTGGCACCACGTTCCGTATCCTCCGACTTGACTAGTAGATACACAGCGAGTATGACAAAAAAGCTTGAGAAGCTATCACCGTTACCTCTAGTCGATATAATAGCTGTTAGCGGGTTGTAGAGCCAAAAGCAAGCGGATGCGCGTGCAATATTCTCCGGACGATTGCGCGCATCTGTTTCGCTGTAGTGCTGTGCCGACCTTATTTTACCAAATTTACTCAGCAAAGCGTGCACGGCTTTGCGACATTGCACTTGCAGTTGAAGGCGCACAAGCATATAGATGAGTATCGCTACAAATATATCAAATGCAGCGTAGATGACTTTGCCGATGACTGGATGCAACAGCACATTTGGTATTTGCATGTATGCCAAAATGGGACTATAACGGTAGGTGTGCCGGTTAAAAGGCGTCTCACCTTTCAGCACATGACGTGCGCCATCTGTAACCACTTTATAGTCTATATCTGTATAAGGCACCGCGGAGTGCGCGTCATGCCAGTGGCCATAGGTGATAAGCAGCAGGCGCAGTGCAATGGAAATAAGCAGGTGTGTGCGAAAGCTCAGTTCTAGTAATAGTGTTAAGCAGCGGCGCAAAAATGGCTGCGATGGTTGGACTATGTTTTTGGATGCCGTGTTAGTCAAGGACATCTTAAAGCGGGTTCGGTAAGTACAATTATAGTTAAGTTTTATACCAATTAGGGTTTACTGGCTAATTTAAATATGGTATATGTATGCAAGTAGTTGAGTTGTATGTTTACTTCTGCCAAATGATTTTTGGACTTTGATTTTTTTTCGATTTGATTTGAAAGTTTTCTGTGGAAGTTAGTATTAATTTTAATGTGTTTTTACTCTTCAACTAACCTACTGAGTTCCAATAGATTATCCATATCAGTTTTATATGTATTCGTTACGAAAATTTTCCATTTGTGTATCTAAATAAATAAATCAGTTTACAATTTCGTTTTCATTTCCTTTGCTGCTTTCTGTAAGCATTCACTGAACTGTTGGAATTCCTTATCGCAAATATGATGCTGCACATTTAAATCTCGTGTCACACATGCCGCATAGACTGCTGCTTTATCAGCGCATTTACCCAGCAGCACGGGATAGTTGCGTAGCCTCTGTTTGGCTTTACGCACTGATTCCATTCTCTAATGATAACGCACTACCGACTTTGTTTTCGCGCTGATTACTTTCGATTTGACTGAGTGACTTTATTACTTAACGCTTTATTCTTAACGCTTGTGGGGTGGCGGTGCTCCGCCGCGCGGTAGTGGGATGGGATCCGCAATGAAGGCGTCGTACAAAGGTTTTGAAAATAGCACCAGCAATGAAGTCGTGATAAAAGTAATCTGAAATAGTCGTGGATTACGTTGAATCCAACTGCGTTTTGGCAGCACAGCTGTACGGCGCCGTTGCCCACTCTCCTGTTGTGCTTGTTGTTGGAGCTTTTGAAGTTTTTCTTGTATTTCAGGTGAAGGTTTATAGGGTGGAATAGAAGGCTTTTGCATTATTCACTGGAATATGGAAATTTAGAGTTTTAGTTATATACGTATATGTAAACCATAATATTTGTGGTTTATCTATCAGTTATGGCGTTTTCTCTTCCTCAAAAAAATTTGCCTTTTCATGGGAAAAGGTAACATTTTTCGATGGAAATGAAAGCATCATAATCTAAAAAATATATATGTATGTAAATATATCTACATAAAAGCTAAAGAAAGACCGAACAATGACAAAGACCGAACTACCGCTTCGACAACAAAAATTCGATTTGGCCGAATTTTCGTCCGAATTTTTTTTTTTTTGATAGAAGGGAGTATCAAAACCTTTATTTAAATACGTAAATATAAAATCAGGTATCTCGATGAAACAAAAAATCAATAGGACATTCCAACTGCGCTCTTTAATGAACTTTCACGAAAGTTCTTTTAACAAAAACAAAATGGATCCTTTTCCAAATTTCAGTACCTATGTATGTATATACTTCTGAACTCTTGCCAACAATGCTAATTTGGACTGAATAGGCCATTGAGAAGTAAGTCCCGATCGTCGTACAGAAATCTCACTCATGCCTAAGCTGGATTATGTCACAGAAGAATTGACAATGGAAGTATATAACGCGGATCGCGATTCTGGTAGCAGAAAAATAAGGCTTCGGAATTTGCATTTTTGATTAGTTTCGAGACATGAGGTTTGTTCGTCGAAAATCCAGCAAGAATTATCCAACACTCAAAATATCAGAGAGTAAGAAAAAATTCTCTCAAATTCTCTCTCATGTTGAGAAACTTGCAAATTTCTGCACGAACGCAAATTTGCAGGAATTTGCAAGTTTCGCTGCCAGCTGGCGTCCACGGTTGCATTTCAAACATAAAAAATTTTTATAGAATTTTTAAAATTCTTTCGGATGGCCAAAAACAGGATATACATGTATATTTCTTGTTGTTCTGACTTTCTTTAACATACATTTCAATTTCTTCATCGTACTAGCTGTCGGGTTTCTTAAATCGACTCTGGTTGCAATTGCATTCCGATTGCGAATACCATTTTTTTCAGCCGAATTAAGTTCAAATCATTGGAATTAACTAAATTAATTATATCAACAATTATTTACTTCCTTTTTTCATAAAAAAATCGCTCGTGTTTATAAATTTTTAAATTTAAAGAACTAATTTATTCAAATTATTGTAGACAAAAATGCAACCATGCGCCACAACCACATGATTTTCGTGTTTGCACAGCAAGAATTTGCAACTTCTCTCCAAGAGAACTGTCACTTTGCTCTCACAATTTTTGAGTGTTGGATAATTTTTTGGTCTGCACGAACGCGATTTGGGCAAAAATCGTGATAATTCGTACAAATTTTTTGCTCGACGAACAAACCTATGTACAGGTGCCTCCAGAAAAACTTCCCCGAATCACATTTAGCCTTCATGTATCGAAGTGGGATACCTTGACTTCTCCAAAACTAATAATCGTAGGGTGCATACATTACGGTGCCCATCGAAAATATTGTTTTTTGGAAATTTCAAGACCCAACCCCCAAATTTTATTCGTTTTTATGAGAAATATTATTGTCTATTTTTATAGATTTTTTAAAGATCATTTAGATATTCCACCAAGCCAAGTCCGACAATTGATTATTATGTACCATTTTAAAGGCAAATACATATGTATATCATTTTCTCAGATCATATTCGATCTTTGAAATCGAACCAATAATAGTCATTTAAAAACTCATAAATCTACAAAATCGTATTTTCTGCCGAAATCGACAGGTCGCCACCTCGAAATGACCTTTAAAAAATCTATAAAAATGGGCAATAATACTTTTCATAAAAAGTAAAATTAGGGGGTAGGGTCCTGAAATTTCACTTGATATATTCTAATTCAGCACCCATTGTTCAGGTCCTATCAGTTAAGTAGCGTAAAAATAAATAAAAATTCACATATTCCTCGAACTTGAGTCTCTTCACATAACCATAGAGCAGGTAGCCAAAGAACTCAGCTAAGCTTTGGTAGAGAGGGATCTCGAAAAGCTAAGGTGATATTCTCTAAGAATATGGTTAGGCTAGGGTCATCGCTCCCGCTAGCTCTGTTCCATAAGGATGACATAGGCAAAACCATACTGTTTGAGAAGAGATTTAAAATAGAGCTATGCAGCAAAGCAACTGGAGCGTTCCCGCCTCCGAGGGATTACTTCAGAGTTGCACACTATACTGGTACGCAGATGGCTCGAAGACCCCAGAAGGAGTAGGGGCTGGAGTCCTCGGGCCCAGAACCAGAATCTCTGTTCCTACGGGGAAATGGTCGAGACCTTCCAAGCAGAAGTCTATGCCATCTATCTATGTGCGCAGACAATCATGAATAGAGAGAACCGAAATGAGTCTTAATGCTGAGCCACAGTCAAGGTGCACTAAGGCTATTCTATCCTATGAAGGCAAATCTTCGTTAGTCATTGAGTGCATTGAGAAGCTAAGCTCCCTTGGCAGACACAATAACATCAAATTAGCGTGGGTAGTCGGCCATAGAGGCGGCTGACAGTCTCGCGGCAGTCAGGACTTTAGTAGGCGCAGAGCCTCTCCTGGGAGTAAGTCTATAAAGGGGCAGCTTAGGAGAGAGGAACACACTACGGGATATAAACTGGCACACTTCAGGAGGAATGCGCCAAGCAAATAATTTACTGGGAGGGGTTGACAGAAGAGATTCCAAAGCTTAATTAACCTCCCAAAAGAAAAGCTTAGAATTCTAACAGGTAGGTATGCTTACAGGACACTGCAGACTAAGGGATCACTTACAAAAGCTGAGAACATGGTCTAATGGCGACTGCACCAGCGAGACTCCGCTTCACATTCTCACCGAGTGAGATGCAGTCAGCAGAAGACGTGAGAGGAGTCTATGCTCGATGTAGCCTAAGCTTAACCAAATCCACTTTATCGCCAGGTCGCAGGGCACACCTCATTTTAATATCTAAACATCTATCTACTCACGTTTTTTTACAGAAAAGTTGGCTGGTTACTTGCCGGTGTCAATTCCTCTTCCTTGTTCCTCTTTGTCAACAAGATAACTTTTATCCAAATATATCCCCGAACAGCAAGTTGATTCTTTATGCCACTTCAAGCAACAGATACGCATTTGTTCCAGGACTTCCAAGCATTTACTTTCTTGATAATTATTTTCTATTACAGCATTTCGGAATTATATAATTTAATGGTGCTCTTAAAAGGGATTTTCAACCATCCTTTACTATTTACATACCGCTTAGACAGGCTTGTATTTTACATGCATTTGCTTTACACGGATCTTTACGCCTGCTGGACATCAATGAAGTAATTTATTTCCTTTTTTAAGTGCATTTATAATTTATATTTACAAATTTTTACTCCGCCGTCGGCTTTTTATGGTCAGTGTTGTAGAATGTAAATAAATATTGCTGTGTTTATTGGGATTTGAGGGGTAATCATTTTTGGTCGTGTTTCATTTGCACTTCCGGGCACTGAATATTGTTATATGCAAAGAACGTAAACGTTCATTTACGTTCTTTGGTCCGAAATATTTTAAAAATATAATAAAAGTAGTGTGTTTTCAAATTCATTTGTTTTTGTCTTCCCTTTTCAATTGATGAGAAGTCAAAAAAAATGCGGTGTAAACACCATCAAATTATTGATTTCAAAGCACGCATTTGGGGCCAATTTAAATGTAATACACGTCCTTACGTTCAAAATTGCATTAATTTTAGTACTAGCAGTGTAGCCACTTTACCCCAATTGTGGTAGGTCTACAAAATTTTGGGTCATTTTCCCCTTCTACCTCCTTTTTTTTGGAAGTCGGTTAAAAATAACAGTTGTTTTGGGTTTGATAATTTTTGATACTTTTTCTGCTTGGCAACTGATACTTTTTTGCAAGCTCGCGGCAACGCTGGATACAACTCTGTTATTGACAGCTGCGCTCGTCATATCAAATAGAAGAAAATTCTGAGCCGTGTCAATTTTTCTTGCCTATAGAATTTTTAGCTTCTGATTAAAACAATAGTTCATATTATTATTTTTCGTGGAAAGTGCACCGTGAAATGTAAATTGTGTAAAAAGATATGCATGTTTTCTGTTGCCAGCAAAAAGCGTGCTAATTTTGCAATAAGTTCACTGCAAACAGTAACCCCTCCAATTAGAATTAGAACAACAAAACCAAAAAAAAAGCGCTTCAGTACGGACGTTCTGTCGTCGCTAGCGCAACGTTTTCATCGGCAACGTCTGCATCGAGGAAGTAGTTAACGAAAAAATAGTGATATAGACGAAAACAGTGACGCAGCTGCGGCGAGGGCATTGAAGACAAATCGAAGAAAAATACCAAGCCAAACCTTTATTATATCGTTTGGGAAATTGCATAAATAATTGAAATCTTCTCATATAGACTGATAAAGGCATCAAACGCATTAAAAAAGCATGCCTTCAAAAAAGAAGAAATACAATGCGCGTTTCCCGGCGGTGAGTGTCAAATGTTGGAAAAAGTGAATGGGAGTGTGTAAGAGCGAAGAAAACATTAAAAATTGGGTAGCAACTTCAGAAGATAAAAACAATAAAAGCTTTTGTAACTACTGATACGTTCGCTGTTGGCGTTTTCATTCAGCCGATAGTTGGGCGCACAAAGTTTATTCACACGAGCATGCACACACACTCATTCCCTTTCATTTCTTGTGGCAGAAAAATCTGATAAGATTTTTATATTTTTACAGGGTCGCATCAAGAAAATAATGCAGAGTGACGAGGAAATAGGAAAGGTCGCACAAGCTGTTCCTGTCATAATTTATATCCTTTTCAAAATACAAAACGAAACATTTTTCTTTTCTAACTATGACGCTTTGAGTATGCCGAGAAGATGCAAAAACTTGGGTGAATTCCATAACGTCAATATACAAAGCATCAGTGTCTTTCATTTCTTTAGTTTGTAACGCCATATATGCGCATGGTTACATGCTAGTTTTGAACTAGGTTGCGCAAGTTAGACTTTTTCTTCTAGTGCGGTTTTGAAATAAAAGAGTCCAATGCTTAGAATTTTGACGTTATGGAATGCACCTGTTGTTAAATTTTTCTCTGGCTAATCAATTACTCAACTTAATTCCCTTAAGTATATTTGTTTCTCATTTTAAATATGACTTGGTCAAATCCGGAGCCAAATTGGGAAAAATTACTCCTATCAATATTCATTAGGACTACATACATACTTATTTTATCCCGTCCAAAATACGCTTATTCTTACCCTTATAGTTCTTGAGATTTGTGAAATTTATATATTGGAAGTTCCCGCTCTGGTCATTTCTTGCTTTTCTGGGGAGTATACCTACCCAGGATATTATATCCGCCTTCGGGCTGTATATAATATACGTACATATGTATGTAGTTCAATGTTAACCATCAGATTTTTCGGTAATTTTTTTATTATCTATTAAAAACAACAATAACAACGGTTTTCATTAACGGATGTCTTTAACTTGTATTCCTATGAATATATTTTGTTTCTTTTTGTGTTATCTTATATACCAAGGACATTAGAACTCTTTGTGGAATCGCTTTTAACAAAGACACTGAGGATTACTAATTCGCGGAATGCAAAAACTTTATCTACATCCCACATGAAGCAGTGTATTATGTCTGAGCAGCGATTTGATTTCTTACGTGAACTTGTGAAAAATGTACCCGACATAAGTGTGGCAGAAGAAGCTGCCAACTATAATGAAGAGGATGGCCAGAGTTCTCCCGAAGATGTTTATCCCGATTCGGATACTCCATATGATCTTAGCATGCCATCTACATCAGGTGGCCGCAACAATAATCGTGGAGTTGCCGCAACAAAGGCCAACGGTGGTCAAACAAATTACCAGTACAAACAACAATACCAACAACCGCCACAAAACGGTAGTGGCAATGATTCTGGTATGACTGAAACAGACTTAAGACAACGTATGCGTCAACGTATTAGTGGAACACAAAGTGTCATTATGCATACTGCATCTGTGGTTCAACCACTAAAATTAATGCGTTCCGAATCATCGCCTGCTAATGCAGCCCAGCACATGTGGCATATAGCACCAAATGCTGCAACCCCACAGCAACAGGGACAAGGGCAACAGAAACGGCTTCGGCATCAGGCGCAGTCAGTAGCGTGCAGCAACAATAATGACAACTGCTTCGACTCATCGCCGCCAAAGCGTCAAAAGTGTGAGCCAACAACACAACAAACACATTCACAAACTGCCATACCCGCGCCTGTTTTCAGCTACGATCTTTGCAATAAGCCCATTGTAAAGATAGACTACAGCAATCTGCCGCTAACACCTGCCATTAGGGGCACCAGTGAACAGCTCAACACAACCGCAGCCATAGGCAACTTATCGTTGAGCGCACCTGTGAGGAATGCGAGCTTCAATTTTAGTGTTGACGCACCCATCATCAATATCGATTTGTCAAACATTGTAACGACCTGCGTTGAGAGCAAAAAAACAAAAGGTAATAATGTGCCCGCCCCAGCTGTTGCAACAATAAGCATTGGTGCCTTGCCGGTTGAATTGGCAAATGCTGGTGCAACGCAACCTACAAGCACGGGCAACATTTATGGCAAAATTGGAGCTGATAAAGCATCATCTACGTCCACTACTCCGCCCTCAAATCAAAGTACTGATTCAAAAACGGACTCTAATACCACAACCGTCGATAGTACGTCATCGTCAGCTTCGTCATCCAGCTGCTCACCATCATCATCGTTTGCGTCGACTTCAGCCAATAGTCAACAGGGTGGAAATAAAGCTATGCTAAAAGCATCAACTGATATAATGGCAAAAATGACTGCGCCAAGAAAAAATGCACTCTCGGCAACGTGTAAAAATTCAAACTCATGTTTCGAGTTAGACGAAGACTATGACAATATTTGAATATAATGTTTTTAGTTTTTAAAACTTAACTATTGTGTTAAGGATTTTTCCTTTTTTTTTAATAAATTCAGACTACCAAAAAAAAAGTTGAAGATCTCTTGCATTCCCATGACAAGTCCCTAACCCAGACAGCCCAATATACTACTACCAGCTTCACTAATAAATGCCAACACCCAGAAAACAGTACGAGACTCGTTACTTTAGAGAAAATGTTTGATTTTATTACGCTAGAAGTCAGGTTAAAGAAATACATTAGAATTGGATTTGAGAACGGTTGTAAGATCACTACGCATTTACGATAGATGACCAACTTATCGACTGGTGCCATATTTTATTGCTATATTTTTTCCAATAAGTTTACACTCTTTTTATAAGCTTTTATTTAATTTGGTCATCCGCGGAAATCGCGGAAATTTCCAATCGATTTTAAACCAACTTCCCGACACTTGAAATTTTCAGCATAGTTCCAATCACGATGATAAGGCAATTTAATATATAAATGAATTCCCCATATGATCCAGGGGTCTTGATTCAAAGGCGGTAAAAAAATAGTAAGATTTATGGCTAACAGAGCGTAATTTGCCAAAGAACGTAAAACCACTATAAAATTGCTAAAGCTGCCGGCGATAGTTTAGCAAAGCTATTTGTGGAAAATTTTAGATATCAACCTAGTCTAGATATGAACCTCGTTGTAGGAATTAGAAGACTCCAGATGTCGCCCCGCCAGAAGATGTTAAATATTGCGCCTAAATATATGCCATTTATATATGCTACAGCGGAAATGGACGACACTCCATTTATTTAAATGAAATTAACTGCTGCTATATGTACATACATACATATGTATGTTAATTCAAAACGTAAGCAAACATTTTGCTTGCATAGTCTTCTGTTCTCTTTCATTGCAAGTTGAATTATTTTAATATTATTGCAAAAGTTTGTACATAAAATAAAATAACACTTTTTAATATACAACGCTTTTATAAATGGACTAAAAATTAGAAAATAAAATAATGTAAAAAAAAATATTTTTTAAAAACAAGCTTTTTTTTAACATGTACAATCAAAGGAATAAAATAAAGTAGTGTAACAAAAGATTTTTTAGCAAGAAAATTTTGTCAAAACTGCACTAAAATGAATAAAATAAAATAAGTTAAGGTCTCGTTAAAGTTACTAAAAGCCATTTAGTGAAAGGAGTTATTCAAACTCTAATGAAAATTACTAACAATTTGTACTAATTTACTTCGTTTTTAAAAAAGCTTGTCGCGCGAATAGCAAACCGGCATTTAAATATCTGCATACATACATATAAATACATACATACCTAACCAATTATGCATGTACGCTGAATTCGCCGACAAGCTTTTTTAAAAACGAAGTAAATTAGTACAAATTGTTAGTAATTTTCATTAGAGTTTGAATAACTCCTTTCACTAAATGGCTTTTAGTAACTTTAACGAGACCTTAACTTATTTTATTTTGTTCATTTTAGTGCAGTTTTGACAAAATTTTCTTGCTAAAAAATCTTTTGTTACAATACTTTATTTTATTCCTTTGATTGTACATGTTAAATAAAAGCTTGTTTTTAAAAAATATTTTTTTTACATTATTTCTTGGTTATTTTACTTAATAACCGTCGTGAGATAAGTGTATGTAATAACGAGGAATATGGGATCAAACTTCAACAAATATACTTTATACATATATATATACAAAATAACACGAGCTGATAAAATAGTATATAGAGCCCGACATAATATTGATAAGTTTTGACTATTTATATTTTATTATTTAATTTTTACCCCGACTTCAAAAAAGGAGGAGATTATCAATTCGTTGGAACATTTTTTATATATGGTGCCGAATAACTTTGGACCACGTAAACCGAGTTCTATAAGTCTGAGTTGGTACATCAGAGGTGGTCCCATACTAATTTTTTGTTTACATCCGACCATTGGATCATGAAGAAATTAACGGTACTCCTAATTTGTATATGAGAATTGAACTCTGTTTTGTTTTTTGTTTCAAAATTTTTGTTAAAAAAAAAATATAGTTATATAACAAAAATCATGTAAATCAAAGTTTAAAACTTTTTATAAAAATTTAAAAAGTCAAATATTCATCAAAATTATACACTACTCAGAATTTTTAGAAAAGTTTTAGGTATGCAGTTTTATAACCCATTCAATAAATAAGTGCAAGTTTGAAGTGGTTACCGTTGGTTTTTGGTAATTTTTTGATGTTGTCGGTGTAACCCATTTACTTCGATACGATTATGTTCGGTTTCTTATTGTTTTGTATTGAGGAAAATGCAACACACCGTCATCAAAAAATTTGCTAAAATCAAAGGTATTTTGTAGCTATTTAGCATAAATTCAAGCTACAGTTTTTGTAGAAAGTTTGTTACGTGGACATCTGAGTTTTGTTAGAGAATGGACTTGGTTTTTATGAAAAAATATTTAAAATTAATTTGAAAATAAAATGTTAAAACTTATCCAAAATAGTGTGACGTCGGGCACTAAAATAGCTGCTTTTTTTAACGAGCGACAAAAGAACCTCTAGACGGGTCAACTTATTGACAGGCCCTGAGCGGCATTCACAGGGAGTCAGTCTCGAGTTATGTAGACTCCTGACCTGTGAATGCCGCTCTAGGCACACAACCACCAGATATCGACGAGACGGAGTTTCATCTGCCTCGGGTGACAAGAACCACAATAGCTCAACTTCGCTCTGGCTACTGCAGCTGGTTAAACTCATACCTGAGCAGATTAAACGCAGATGTGCCAAATGAGTGTCCGGCATGCGGAGAGACACCTCATGAGTCATGACTGTAAACATCTCTTCGTATACTTGACGACTACGACCAGCGTTGCCAGGTTGACGTTTTTAACGTCATTTGGACGTTTTTTGTACCCTGTTGACGTTTGGACGTTTTTTGTGTAAAAAATGACGTTTTTTAACTTCCCAGTAATTTTCTTTGTTACTAAATCTTATAAGTAGAACAGATTTTGAATTATTTTCTTAATAAATCTTTACAATCTTTGTGTTTTGCTGTAGCTGCTTCAAAAGATTTTTTTCTGGATTCTTGGACTAAGGATCCCGTGTTCAAAGGCTGGCTGTAATGTTTGCAATTGCACATTTAAAGTCAATTCAGGAAGAGCCGATCTATTGCAGCAGGCACGCTCGCAAAAACATCAAAAAAGCTGTGCAGCTCCCGAATTCGCTCCCTCTTGCAAATATTCTGGGTTATTGAATGCATTCCCAGTAAAAACTTGCAAGTACTAGCAACAATTCCTAACAATTTTTTGATATTGAATGGACCTATTGCTATGCTCCTTTTTAGCAGACCGTAATTTAGCATTTTCGACAACCGAGCCCCTAACCAAATGTCTAAAAAAAAAAAAAATATTGGCTGAATTTCTTTATTCATTCTGAACGTTTGGAATAAACTTTTTTGTTTACTTATTCTTTAGAACGTTCCTGATGATATGTTAACGTATATTTCAAACGTATTCTGTTTATTCCGGCTGTGAAATGGGATTATCCGGAATGTATAAAGAAACGCAGCCATTAAAAATCAACGCTATTATTTAGCCCCTTTAAACTTGCACATTATTGCCCTGAAATTTAATGGGCTATCAAACTGCATACTCAACAAAAATTCTAAAAACTCTGAATAAATAGTTGAAAATCTAGCTGAAAATTTGCAGATTGTTTATAATTTTTGCACAACTTTTGTGGATTTATATTTTGTTTGTTAATGAGCTTTTGGCTTTTATGGAAAAATAATAAACATAAATAAACGAAAGAGAAACAGCCAAAATCGATCAAACTATCGATGACTTAGTCAGCTGATCACAAGTGTATGTATAAAATGAGTTTTATATTAACGATCAGTTTACAATGAATTTTAAATGTGCTCTGTTGAAATGACATTTTAATATACATTACGTACATATCGAGCCCTAACCGCCAAAATAACGTAAGCGACAAAATTTTCTTTTTGATGCAGAAATGCATCTAAATGCTCAAGGAATATTTCTGCATCAAAAATAAATTTTTGAAAAAAATGTCGCTTACGTTAATAAGAACAATTTTTTGTACATTCAATTGAAAAAGACGTTTTTGGGTAGGAAATGACGTTTTTTCAGACCAAGAGCTACGTTTTCTCATGCCGAATACCTGGCAACACTGACTACGACTGAGATATCAACCGATCACCACAACAACAACAACAAAGAACGCTGAACTCTAAAATTTCCTTTTATCTACTTAAGCAGCCCTGTTGGTATCTGGCAAGAAACACGTGATTAGTTGGACGGGATTTAGACACAATTCACTTACCAACGCTACCCTTCCAGTCGCGTATTTTTTAACCAACCTTGCTGAACTCGGATAAATAGCCGAGCTTATGTTGTTGCTTCGCATTTCGTGATTTAAGAGAGTTTTCTTTTGAACCTCGGTTGCAAAACAGCATACATCGTTAGAGGAGTTACATACATATATAAAAAATCGTATCTAAACAATCAGAGGTATGGAAGATATACTTTATATAGCACCGGTAACACAATTTAATGGGTTTAGCTTCCTACATAACGGAGATATATCGAAAAAACTGGTATCTGAACAATCAGTGGTATAGGAGATAAAGCTTATACAGCATAGATTTCGACGATTTTCTCAGTAGACTTTGTATTATTATTTATAAAATAGCTTACGAAATTTACGTTTTTAGCTGTTCAAATAAAGGATATTACAGTAAAACCCCATATATGAACAATCAGTTGTATGAAGGCAATAAATAGGTTACGGATTATTTCTCTATATCGATCCACCCGACCGTAGAGAGATCTATATTTCTATGGACCATGGCCTCAAGATAGGTTAATAGGCAGTATTATCAAAAGCACCTCGATGTCTAACAGTTTCTCGAAAGCACCCAAAACCTTCTCAACCGATTTTGCTATATTTTTGTTGGAGTTACTATCGATAGAATGTAAAGATAAGAATGAAGATAAAGGAAAACAGAATAAGATAAATGTAATTAGAACGAACTGTAGTAGAGGTAGGGATCTATGTAGAAAAAAGACAAAAATATAACCTTAAGCAAAAGCAGATGAATGTATGTATGTACATATTTATGTATATTGGTTATGAGAAAAAAGAGATTCGTATCGTAAATTTCACTTCTCTAGTGTGGCCCAGGCGCATTTACTCTTTTTTTTCTCAGTGTAGGAATGGGTTTCGAATTGAGTCTGAGTAAATTTGATACCTTGGATTCCAAACCACCGAACCTTATTCCGGAATCGGTCTAACTAATGTTGTATACAGGGTTTTAGTGATATAAGGGTCACTAAATTCTTTTGACCATTGTTTCACAAATGCAAGTGCACCTTTAGCCTTGTTGACTGGCACATTAATGTGAAGATTAGAATTAAGTTTAGGATCCATTGTGATACCAAGGTCCACAAAATTGTATACCCGCTCCAAGTTATGGTTATCTATTGTATTGGCTGAACAGCTTTTTTTGCGAAAAGCACATTACTTTACATTTTCCCAGATTTAGAAGCATACGATTTACATAGCACCAGTTAGCCATGCTGTTTAAGTCTGCTTGTAGCAAAGCCTTTTCTTTAATTGAATCATGCGATTTATAAAGTTTCATATCATCTGCGTACATTCAAATTTTTGAAAATTTTATATCTGCCGAAATATTGTTTATAAAAAGCAAGAACAGAATCGGGCCTAGGAGGCTACCCTGCGGAACTCCTGCAGTAACACCAATGGTGTCAGTAATAGTATTTTTAAACATTTCGCTTTGTGATCTATCATAGAGGTATGAAGAGATCCAACGTAGAAAATTAGGTTGAAGACCAAGAAGATCAATGTAGCTTCTGTTGGCAAGAGTTATTTCGCTTGATCTCCAGGCTGACGTTGTTGTTGGTGTGTATGCTGGATCCTAGGTAGACAAAGTCCTTCACTACTTCAATGATATAGCCGCCAATAGGGACGTGTGCCAGGAAGTACTTTGTCTTGTCCTCGTTCACCGCTATACCAACCTCTTCAGCTTCTTTTCCTAAACTTGAAATGCTGCGGACACGTCCCTTTGTTTCAGACCGACGATATCGATATCACCTGCATACGCGAGCTACATCATTCTTTTGGTATATATGGTGCATAGCAGCCGCTCCACTCATATTAACCATTTGCTGTGCTGTACAACCATTTGTTTGCTCTGACCCCTCGGCAATATTGAACTTATTATATTGTTTTGCAGCCTCTGAAATCGAAACCGTAGTTAGTTTCACCACTTCAGCTCAGACTTTTGGCATAACCTCCCCATCCACCTCAATCATTACCGCCCAAAAATATGAAATAATTCTTCACAACAGCCTTCTGAAGCTTCAAAGCTGCTATTGATACTGCATGTACATATGTACATATGTACATATTTGTTTCGAGTCGTTTTGCAGATGGAGTTAGGGGTAGCCTCCCTACTTAGACTAATTGGTAGGTAATAAACTTTGAATTAATCCGATCTCGAGTTCAAATGGTTTTGGTCGATTGTATCGGCATTTTCGAATCTACATCATCTAAGGTTAGACTGGGTTATCTGCAAATATATGTAAACTTATGTAGAATGTGCGACACGCCCTACCCGACTCCAATCGGGACTAAAAATTTATATGTGATATCTTCGACTATGGTAATATCGATTTTGAGTATTAGATGAAAAACAAATTAATTTAAGTTTTTTGTGCCTCTATAGAGGAATCGGTACTTTGCCCCCTGTGCGACACGCCTTGACCATGTCCAATGGGGACCAAAATTTATATGTGAGATCTGTGACTGAAGAAATCGCTCATTTGATTTTCTAAGGACCACCCTAATTTACATACTTTAGGCAATTGACTTTAAACTTTTTTTTGGAAAGGTTAAATCCCCATGGTATCACACAGTGAGTTTTTAAATATAAACAGTTTACGCCTACTTATAATTATTTTTTATATAGCAAAACTCTACGAAATATCGTAAATAGCTCCGAAGTCGACCGTTTAAATGAAAAGCGTTGTATACAACTTGAGTAGGAATGAAAATTGGCTTTGTTTTAAAGAAAAGAGAACTGAAATTCGCTAACCACGTCTGAAGATAACGGCAACGTCGAATTTATTGCTACTGGGGAAAACGAACTCGGCCGTTTTTATTGTTTAAGAATTATTACGCTTTTTAAACCGCTGGGGTGTTATATACCTTACCTCGTGCACGGAAGGTTAAGGCGGTTGAGGATGTATTTATACCTATAAAACACCGCCTACTTTGAATTTAAAATTAATATCTTTAGGATTTATATTTTATAGTATTAGCCTTTATTATAGTGTATTAAAAATTAATGAAAATTAATTAAATAAAACTGAAATGGACTGTTTAAAAATAGTGTTTCCTGCGGGAGTTTTTTTTTTGACAAGTTGAAATGAAAACATTATTTTTGTTGTTTTTTCACGTTTCCTAATCATCGAGTAATACAACTCATATGATCGATGAAGTCGAATTCCAAGAATAACGATTATTTTTGATCCTTCTGTTTTTGTCCAAAATACCAATATATCGAGGCAAAAAATGCTCAAGCACTTGATTACCGAACAATTTTACATCCTAGAATGACGGTTATTTTTTATTGAAAACAATAAATAAACTATAGATTGACCATAAAACCCATAAATATATATCGATAAAATACTGGAAAATAATAATATATCTGCTCAAGCCAGGACGATAAAATTAAAATTTATGAACGATAATTTTTTATCGAAAATAATGAAAAATATCAATCATGTAGCTGATTGCAAAAAAAATGGTTTTCGACCAGAAAATTTAAAAATATCAATATAGTCTTAAAATTATGAAAATGATAATCCTGGTTTCGATTCAATAGCTCTAAAATTTAATATTTTTTACCGAGATCTGTGTTTCAAAAATTAAGTTTTGAACCATTTCACTTGTTAAATTTTCGTCTTAAATGTGTCATTCATTTATTTAAAAAAAAGTTGTAATATTTTGGCAAATTTTTGTAGAAAAGCAGTATCTGAGATGCACAGTGATTTTAAAAACGAGTTTTTGTCCCCTAAGCGTAATTTAAAACACATCTATTGTAATATATGTATGTATATAAAAGATTTTATTTAACTTTTCAAAAATATAATTTTTTTTTACTCTTGATACTTCGCATTTTCTCTTTTTATAATAAAAATAAATATTGATGAATATTAAAAAAAAGTTTTGTCTGTTTCTGTAGTCGTCGATGTCATAATAATGAGATTGTTTCGGGTGTACAATTAGTTTACTGAAGACATTTGAGTTCGAAAATGGACCAAGGTATGATTGTTATGTTGCTAGTGGTTTACTGTAACTTTAGGACTGTACAATAAGGTTTTAGAGTAGAGAAAACAAATGGTTTTAAAATGTTTTCCATTTGGATTTTTCAGTGTATAAATGTTGTTTTGTTTAAAAGCAAAGATGTGTTTATGTATGAAAAAATAGTGTTTCTCATTATTTAAAATCCTTTTTCCCCGGTACTTGTTTGCATTATTTTTAAGGTCGTTTCTTTTAATTTAAAAAATGGAATAACAAAGTAGTGTTTTTTTTTTTTAATTTTTTGTTTGTTTTTTTTTTTGCATTTGTTGTTTCTCTCGGTTCGGTGTCATTTTTGTACTTTTTTCCGTTATATTCGTGTGTAGTTTACATACTTTTCTGTANTTGCATTTGTTGTTTCTCTCGGTTCGGTGTCATTTTTGTACTTTTTTCCGCTATATTCGTGTGTAGTTTACATACTTTTCTGTATGCTTGTGTGTGTGTGTGTGTGTGTGTGTGTCTGTATCTGTGGAGTTAAAAGGTTTTGTGCATTTCAACTGCAACAAGTTGAAGACTATCTTAAAAAGTTGCACACTTCAGTTTCATAATACAAAATCTCGACATTTCACACACTAGCATGCCCATATGGAATTTCCTTACTCCTTTCATTCTACAATCAGTCCATCCACGCATTCATTTTATTCGTCCGTCGCAACGGTAACACACGCTCGCCCGTCCGTCCACACTCAATCTTTCTCAGGCACTTTCCATTGCAGATGCTTGCCACGATCGTACAAATTTTTGAGCGCGCTGGTGAATTTCTTTTCCGCCGTCAATTTCAGGTAATGCTTGTACAGCTGCAATGTGGTGCGCGCATCTTCGACGGAGTCATGAGTTTCCGATTGTATTTTTGTTCCTAAGAAATGAAGAAGGAGAGTTTCGACTCATAATTCTAACACTATTTATTTACCCAAAAAGTGCCAAGCGAGAAATCTTAGCGATACCATGCGATGATGTGGTAGATGGAATAGATGCACAGTATCGATAATTTGCTCCGACGGCACATAAATGTTAATTACTCTGAAAAATTAAATATACAAATTATTTATTTAAATTTGTTTTAAATAACTTCCGATGTGGCAATTAATTTTACAATCTACATACATAGATAATTACATCTTAATGGCTATGAACTTATATTTGGTTACCAAATACTTACACGGCTCAACAAAATTTGGACGAATTTCATCTCGAAATCGGGACTGACCTCTTCTTATAGATTTTTTGATACTAACTTCAAGTCCATTTAAAAAAATGTTTCTAGTTCGTCTAGTTTTTGAGAAACAAACCATTACAAACCATCGCAAAATACCCAATTTCAAAAATTAATTTGGAAGTAGTTTTTGCGAAGAAAAAATCGCCTATTAATGAAAGTACAATTCGTCTGATGGATTCTACCTCATGTCGATGACTTGAATAGAAAGGAGTGAGAAAATACAGGAAAAGTAAAAAAAAGTCAGTTCTTATGTAGCAGGTATTTGTTTTCAATGTAGTTTAATTAAAATTTAAAATTGCGCGGATTTCAGTTGAAAATATATATTCATTAAATTTTCATTTTACTATACTGTGTATTTTACTTTTACGGAATATTTTTCACTAATTTCTCCTATACAATTAATATGAGCATACATTAACAAGTAATTTTTAGCAAAAAAAAAAACCGACTTCAACTCCCATATAAAAAAAAAATATATATATATATATCTCATGATCCGCTGATCGGATCTGACGTGGTCCAAAGTTATGCGGTAACATACATAAAAAATAAAAATAAAAAAAATAAAATATTCCGACGAACTGATAACCTCCTCCTTTTTTGGAAGTCGGTTAAAAACACTGTACAGCACTCGGCTGGGTATTGGACCAAACCAACTTTTTATAAGAGATTGAGTCATAAGTAAAAAGATTATTTTCTCCGTTTTTCGAAGTTAGTCTCCAAAATCGAGATATGGGACTTCGAAGTCCGAAATTGGACCTTTTGTAAAAAATAATTTTTAATTATTGCATGTAAAAAGCAAAAAAAGTAAAAATACAGACGTGGTCCGCCTTTGGCTTTATTTTTATGGTGTATAACTTTTTTTGTGAAACTTAAATAACAGGTGATATGAGGGGTCAAAGGTCAGATCTTCGAAAAATTATAAACTTAATATTTCAGAAATTTTTGAACTGATTTTTAAAAGATTCATATCGTTGTAAAGGTGATTTAACCCCCTTTTTGATATGCATATTTTTATACTTCGTATATAAAAATTTGAGAAAAAACATATTTAAAGGACAAAATACCTTTTTTTGTATAAAAAAAAATATTTTAAACAGAAAAAATTACTAACCGATTTTTAAAAGATTGGTATCGTCGTAAAGGCGATTAAACCCCCTTTCTTCTGATATGCATACTTGTATACTCCGTGAATACAAATTGAGAAAACACAATTTAAAGGAAAATTAACTTTTTTTCAAAAAATATTTTAAACAAAAAAATACTCACCGATTTTACAAAAATTTACATCGTTGTTAAGGCGATTAAATCCCCTTTCGTTTAATATGCATATTTGTATACTTCGTATATAACAATTAAAAAAAAAAATACATTTTAAGCAACAAATACCTTTTTTTTATAAAAACAAATTTTATATATATTTTTTTTAAATCAGTTAAAAATTGTTTGAAATATAAGGAATTTAATTTTTCGAAGACCTGAACTTTGACTCCTTATAGCACCTGTAATATAAGTTTGCACCAAAAAAAATGGTTTGGTCAAATACCCAGAGGAAAAGTTGGTTTTGCACAGTGAAATGAATAAACAATTCATTGACGCGACGTAGAATCCATCAGATGAATTAGCTTTTCATTAAAGGTATCCACACACCTATGCGATTCTGTTGATGCCAATGTGTTCCGACCACAGTTTTAATTGAGGAACCACACACACGATTTTGCTGCGGCGATTATTCGAACATTCACAGTTCTTCTTTTCGTCGTGGCGAANAAAAAAAAAATACATTTTAAGCAACAAATACCTTTTTTTTATAAAAACAAATTTTATATATATTTTTTTTAAATCAGTTAAAAATTGTTTGAAATATAAGGAATTTAATTTTTCGAAGACCTGAACTTTGACTCCTTATAGCACCTGTAATATAAGTTTGCACCAAAAAAAATGGTTTGGTCAAATACCCAGAGGAAAAGTTGGTTTTGCACAGTGAAATGAATAAACAATTCATTGACGCGACGTAGAATCCATCAGATGAATTGGCTTTTCATTAAAGGTATCCACACACCTATACGATTCTGTTGATGCCAATGTGTTCCGACCACAGTTTTAAATGAGGAACCACACACACGATTTTGCTGCGGCGATTTATTCGCAGTTCTTCTTTTCGTCGTGGCGAAATCGCAGACGGCCGCATTTTCAGAACGAAAGAGGTCAATAGAAGGATTTTACAATATTAAAACAAAATTTTACGTAAGAAAACAAAACATGTTTGATGTAGAAAAGTTAAGAATCTTATTTTTGTTGAAAAATATTTTTTGTTTATCTATAAATTGACAGTTTTTACTGCGATAAAATCGGAGAGATGTGTGCGTAAAGCTGATGCCAGATAAAACTTTGTAGCTTTGCGTGACATTTATAAATTTGCCAGCAAAGCGCCAGACGCAAAAGGTATGCCACAATGAACGCCAAGAAATCAATTTTGCACTGCTTTTTTACTCGTCAAAATTGCTGTGGATTTAAGATATTTTGCTTTAAAATTATCAGCAATGTAATTGAGTTTTATGTTTCAGCATGAATACTCGAATTTGGACGAAACAAAATAAATATTAAACCGGCTGATTGTCAAAGCGCGCAAAAAGATGGGAGTTGGCCATCTTTTCGCTTCGCGCTGCAGCTTCAATGATCTATGTGGCATGCTTTGTGCATTTTCATACAATTCATCTTAGCTGTCAAAGCGAATCTGTCACGTAAAGCGAAGCAAACGTTTTATGTGGCATCAGCTTAATTGCGTTGTCGAAGCAGTAACGTCTGTAGCATCAAAAACGGTTTCTTCGAAAAAACTACGACCAGATTCGTTTTCTTTTTAATTTTTCAAAATTACTTTTTTCGATACTTCAACAGTTTATTTTTCTCAAAAACTAGGGGTCTTAGAAAAATTTTGTAAATGAACTTAAAATCAGCCTAAAAAAATATATTAGATGAGATCGGTCCCGATTTCGAGATCAAACTCGTCCAAATTTTGTTGAACCATAATAATATTATTAGGTTTGTTTCGTTGTTGGTAGTATTATACGAAGCTTATGCTTATTATTTTGATTCACTTGAATAGGCTTTTAACACAATGAAAAGACTAGATTTTACCAACAAGAACATACCCTTCATTTTAATGCTACTACATAATACTTTTAGTTTTGGGTACTATATCCTTAATTCTAATGTATGCAAAAAAACTCAAATCCGGAAAACAACTCTACAAAAAATTAAGGACATATCGCTGCTTAAATACCACTTTAATAGCCGGAAAGAAAAACTGCCAATCATCACATAGGTTGTGTGACACACAAACTTTATAAAACATCCAATTCCAAATATTTTCCATTAAGTTTAGGTCCTGTGAATAGGACGAACTCTCACTTTGCTTCGTTATCCTCGTTTTTACAGCTCCTATGGTGCGAATCGGTGCGTAATTTTGTTAACATATGTTAAAAAATGTCCTTAATACTTGTTTTGCATGAATTATTCGTAATTTTGGAAGCCTGAAATATTATTTCAACTGCACGGAACTACGATATCGCACTTCGGACCGCCATATTCTCTTCGAGGAAACAAACAAGGTTCGTCGTTTCAAAAATCGTGACAATTATTATTAAATTCGTTGTAGCCATCAAAATCAAACTTTTCTTCAGAAAAAAAACGCTATTTTCTAGTTGTCCTTTCAGGCATGCGAGCTGTTCAAAATTCCAGCCATGTATGCCCTTTTTGACATTTTCTGAACACAAGTGTATTGAGTTCCCTTGTGATATCATCATCACCAACATTTTTCATTCGTTTTGGTCCAATATCTCGACAATAAGATGCTGACCTCGTAAAGGACTTTTGTTATTTCCATCTGGCTATGGTGCTCTGGCTCCATTTCATGCTTTTTTTATGCGAATCTATATCCTTTATCCTTTAAATTCTTAAAAAGGTTTCAATTTCAATAACTTTACTATACACATATGTAAATGAATGATTCAAAATAGTAAGCATAATTTTCGTGTAGTTTGATAAAAAGTGGAATAAAATCCTAAGTAATCAAGGTGTTTTCTCCATTTTCACTGCTTTTCTTCAAAATTAATAATTCTTCAAAATTAGATCAAAAATAAACTTCTCTGATGCCCACAAGTACAGATATAAGCTTGGATCATGAGATCAAGTGAAGCGGGGTGTATATAAATTATTTGGCGCAAGTAAAAAATAAAGATCTATGTACATATATTTCATTCCTTTGTGTTCCGGCGTGTATAAAAAAATGTTGCATGGTTGAAATCCGCGTAAACAGTTCTATCAATCCACATTTGTGTTTTTTTTTAGAGCTAAACATTTTAATTTCTATTATAGCAGCTTTAATAGCCATACAATTGGAATTACTTATCCAGTGAGTAGGGCAATGGAAACGGCTTCAAATATTAAATTCATACTTTGTACAAAATAACGAATTTCCGCAAAATACATTAGGCGTATTCTCTGAGTCTTGCAAAGCCCTTGCACAATGCACAGATTGCACGGAGTCGGAAAACGTAAATGTCAATATTTATCCAACCTCTAACAACGCTAAAATGCAAAAAAAAATTTTCCCGGGACACGTAAGCTTCTTAAGTTTGGGTCGTAGATTGAGGATCTGAATACCGTTTTTCTAGATCAGGTCATTTTGCAAACATACTTTAATTTTGAGTTTGCATTGCGAATGAAAAAAATTCAAACTGTATCATGGAAAATGTTACTCATACGCCATGTACGAGAATGTACGAGTACGGCCGTGTACGATGTGGCATATGAGTAATATTATTTCCTGGCTCTATTGCATACAATTTCATTTAACCATTCAAAAATTGTTTATTTATCCATCGCTTTTCATCGCTAGTTGTTTCAGTTTTTGGCAAATGAACAGGCTTTAATACAAGCGACAAAAGATTTGATAATTTTTTCCTTGTTATAGATTAATTATTTTTACCATAGAAATATTTTGGGCAAATGACCCGATCTAGAAAAACGGTATACAGATCCGTAATATACCACCCAATCTTTAGTTCACTTGTTTCCGCGTTTTTTTGTTTCATTTCAAAACTTAGGATTTTCCTAACATTTTAATTGAATCATGTGTCTCTCCAGTACCGCTCAATTGTCACCCGCGCGTCGCTGTATACAGCAGCTGCATTGCACTATTCGTCATACTGGTTGTTTCTACATGGTTGGGGGTTCGATTATTCGAATTTTTTCCAAAACCGGTTTTTGAGTTATTCGAAATAAAGTAATTTGAAAAAAAAACGGTTCTTAATTATTAAATTCAGAAAAACCGGTTAGACCAGATATTTGCGTTAAAATTTTCGCGTTTTGATGACGCTTTCAGTTTATCAGAAATAAAGACGGAAATGGAATAGAACTATTAAAATCAGGGAAAAGACAATTAAATGGAATAAATTCAAAGTTTTTTGAAACACTAGTAAAGCAAAAATTAGATCTAATAAATATTTAGAAGCTTTGGGATCAACTGATTTTTCCGAAGTGGCTAAAAACCTTACAGGTGTTCTTACACGATATGTATTTGCATCTGCAAATGTGACTTTTTCAATACATATGTAATTGTGTATGTCTGTCAAAATCACAGCCTTTATTTAACTATTTAAAAATACGTTCTTTGAAAACGAAATGAACTAAACTCAGATGATTCAATCTGTGTGTCAGATGAAAATAGAAACATTTCTATTTCGTATGTGCATCTGCTTTGTACAGAAACAAATCTAATTTGCCTTTACACGATATGTTGACATTTCTATATGAAAAAAATGTCATTTACACATGCAAATACATATCGTGTAAGAATACCTTAACCTTGCCTTTTTTAAGTATTTTTTAAAACACACATTTTTATTTAAGCACTAGGACTGATGTAGTAGTCAAAGTTCAAAAGGGGCATATTATATTTCAAAAAACTAATTTTACTTTAATTTTGCTGCCTTTTCTACTATGAGGCGATTTCTTAGAGGCTCGTATATAAGGCCTGCTGCACTGAACAATTGCTCACCTGGAACGCTGGCAGGTGGAGCGCTCAAATATTTGCGGGCCAGATGGGGTTTTCACTGAAACGAGCTCGTTTTTCTTTAAGATAGACCTTCAATTGAGCTTTAATTTCACATTTTTTAATGTCTTTAGATTCTAAATACGAGCCTTCGCTTTCACTGGAGGAATTTAAAATTATTTCTAGGTTGCTTATAAGACTTTTTTGGCAGTATGTACTTGTAAAAGGCCCATCAATGTTGCTTGGTATACTACTCTTAACCTTTTAGCCGGTTATTGTCCGCACCCTGTCATAACTTGCCGCAAAATTCTGTGTTTTCTTGATAAATTATTTGTAAAGAAATTTTATCAAGTAAAAGCTCCCATCTCATTCTGTGTCAAGATTTATAAAATAAAAAGCTCTCCGATTTCTACAAGAGGGGAATTAATTTCAATGTCACATATGAAAAATATGAATTTAAAAGCAAAAAAGCTTTTGACTGCCGTAGCCGAGTAGATAGAGACGTCGGCTATAAATTCTGTGTATCCCAGGTTCAAATGCTGGCACATGCAGTATATAAATGATAGAAACAAATTTTTTAATAAACAAAATTTATAAGTTTTGTATGAAATTTCAATTTGTAAACGCTTGTCCATGACATTTTTCATCTTGATTATTTAATTAAGAGCTTTTGATTTCTGTGCCAATTCTTGAAAAATAATAAAAAATTTACAAATTATAAACATTATTTATTTATCAAGTGCACAGAATCGGGCTGTTAGAGCCATTTCAACAATATTAGAGTGGACTCTCTGCACATGTACACATTCGCATTCGCAAAACAGTCGTATCATTTGATGCGAATGGGTAAAATTATGCGAATAATTCGCATAACGAATACGAATGCAAATATTCGCAACATCCCTGGTATATACATACAAATTTATTGATGTTGGAAAAGCATCAAAACTTTGGCAACTGCAAATTTCGCAAAATTCGAAAAAAACAGCCAATCTGCAAAACCGATGAGTATATCTGGATTCAGGGATATAAATATGCCCTAGAAATATGAATGCCGTTCTTGTCTTTTTATAAACCAGAGTATACAAAGATTTTCTATTCGCACAACCAATTTACAAATGAGTACCCACCTGTAGTTCCAGATACTAGAAATTTCTGTCTAATTTTGTTTAAAAATAAAACGCATGGATACTTTATATTAATACGTTTAGGAATACGGCCCGAACAACTAAAAACTTAAGGTTTCGAGATTTATGAATTTAGTGGCAAAATAAAAACTACAGGTCAAGCGGGCAATATAAATATTATTAAAGTGTAGTGTAAATGCAAATATTATTTGTAAGCAAAAAAAGTTTCACCACACCTGAAATCATTTTTCAATCCATGTCCAAGAAAAATAACACCAACATCCACTAAATACTTCAACTTTTGATATGAATTTTTGAGCGCTGTCAGTCGTTTACTGCTAAAGTTCGCGTCCAAATCACCCGGTTTTATCCCCGAAAATTGTGTTAGGTAATCGACGACCTTCTCCTGCGTTGATATGTAATCGTCCATGAAAGGTACACCTTCATCAGGACCTTGACTGGAGGCAACATAAAGCATATTTGAATAAGTAAACAAATGCCAAGATGTGTGCCATATGAACTTAAGGAACAGATTTTCAATTATCAATCAACTAAAAAAGCAACTCAATTAAGCAAATTAACACCATTAATAATAATAATAAAAATTAGGGAATTAAAGTTTGTAAGCAATGCTTGAAGCTGCTGCTCGAATTACGGCATAGTTGGTGTGTATTCGGGTTCGATTTTGATCGATTAAAGCTTCCAGCATCACTTTTAATTTCAACACGCCCACACACACCAACTACCAGCAACTTCGCATTCTGTTTGTTGTACATATATGGGTATCTTGAGACGACAGCGCTGTTTATCCGCTTACCCGCGTATGCATGAAATACGCGCCACACTCATGTGACATGGTTTTATGGTTGCTGTTTTGCCATCCGGACGTATTTCGTTCTCTTCGGGATTCAATGTGACAAATTCAGCATCCATAGCGACCAAATCACCTGCCTGTGGCATTTCATTCGTTTGCAATGGCTTAAATAATACATCGCCCATGCTGTTTGGCGCTGGCGCTAGCTGTACAGGATTTGTTATATCCTGCAATAAGGGTAAGGTAATGATAAATAAATTAAATTTATTTTAGCATTTCTAACCAAAAACACCAAGAACGAAAGAAACGAATGTCGTCATTTGTTCGATTTTTTTTTTTATAAAGTAAAGAAAGAAAGAAAGCAAAAGATACTTAGTTTACTTGTATGAATGGGTTATGATGGGCAAATTCCGTTTCCGTGCTGATGCTTTGTATATCACTTTTCGCAGCTGCTGTAACTGTAGCTGTAGCTGTGGTTACAGCAGGCGTGATAGATGGAACTGGCGCATCCGTACTTATGCTGCTGTAGAAAAGTACACAAGGCACTTTCCAATCGAGGGTAAACCAAACAGATTCTTGTATTGAAACTGGTGAGACGCTGGAAATTAAATTGCAGGTAATGCGGTAATTAAAAAGGGTATATATTGTTTACGTTAAAATTAGAGGACATTTACTTGCCTGAAATCATTAAAAATATACCATTGTTGTTGCTCTTCACCACTGTTGCCGCCAGCCGCCATTTTCAATGTATGATATTTTTTACTTACTTTAATCAGCGAAACCAAATTCTTTTGGGTGCCATCGTCGATTTGGCAGACCACTGCATGCAATCCATATTCACGAAATGAATCGTTGTTGGAAGCTACCGAAAGGAAGAAGTTAGAAACTTAGAATAATATTTTAAATATAGATATGAATTAATTTTCCGTAAAACATATTTGCTGTCGTCAGGGCAAAATTTTTCTTGACATTGAAATTGTAATGCACCTTTTTGTTTTTGTGAAGCTCAACTAATGGTAGGCCCAGGAAACGTGTTGTTTCAACGGGGTTGTACCAAAGTGAGACGGAGTTAGCTGGCATACATAATATGACCAACTTTTTTACAGCTCAAAGAGATAAAGAAACTGAAAACCGAACACAGTATGAATGTAATGAGAAAATCGTAAAAGCAGAATATGCGAAAACGGTAACAGTGTACCAATTCAACAAATAAATTTTAATTTGATATTTCAAAATATTAATATTTTCTAAACTGCGTAACCGATTTAAAAGCTAATGATGTCAAAATAAAGACAATTCAAGTTGATATGTAAAAATAAATAAAATTTAAAGAGAATTGCATAACTGTAACGTCTACAATTCGCAAATAATATGGCACCAATCAATAAATATGATGGAACTTCGGTAAATTTTAGTATTCTTCCTTCCACTCTCAGAAATACATGGTTATAATAGTTCTGTTCGCTATGCAAAAGCCAGTAAGAATTAGCGAGTAGCAAAATTCAAAGAATAAGGTATCTTACTCTCCCAAAGAGTGAAACTTACTAAGTTTTGCGCGAACAGGAGGGCTGAATTTCAAACGTCAATTGCTTTGCATACCTACAAAGTATAATGTTCCATAACGCCGAACTACAAAATATTGACAATGTATACTTTTCCAAAACGCATCCGAAAATTTATCGAAACGCATCGCTAGAGCAATCAGCGCATCAGAAACATCGTTTGTTATTTGTTACCACTGGTGTTTTAAAAATGGAAAATTCAGAAAAAATATTAATTGCTATATTAAAATATGCAACGTATATGGTTGCAAGGTGTCGCAACTCTGCATATACAAACAGTTGTATTGATACGTTTTGGAAGTCAGCCGATTTATCAAACTTTTGCTAGCTTCACTGCCAGCTGGCGTCCACGGTTGCATTACGAACATAATAAATTTTTTAAATTATTTCACAACAACAACAAAACAGGACCTATACGTATATTTCCTCTTATTCTGTCTTTCTTCAACATACGCTTTAATCTCTTTGTGGAAGTCACTGTCGGAATACCTATATCGACAGTGGTGTCAACTGCGTTCAGATTACGAATATAGTTTTTTCAGCCGAGTACCTTTCAAATGTTTGGAATTATTAAATTAATTGAATAAGCAAATATTTACATACTTCTTTCATTAGTAAATCGCAACAGCATTGTTAATTTTTAAATTTAACGAACTTGTTGATTCAAATTATTGTTGACAAAAATGCAACCGTGTGCCACCATCCTGCTTCCCCTTCCCCCCAAATGAAATGTCAAAATTGTTCTCTCTCCTTGCAAGTTTTACTGTTTTTTTGGCCAAACGAACACGATTTGGTAAGAAACTGGTAGCAACTTGTATAAGTTGTTTGCTTAGCAAACACTCATAATAAAAATTGCAAACATAAAGTGGTGCAAATTCTACAATTTTCGGTGTAACTTTCCCATTGTTCAAAAAATTCGTTTTTCGAATGGATGCTGCAATATCCAGAGCGAAGTTGGGCGAAGTGCGACTCTGTGGTTGTGTTCCAAAACATCCTCCACAGGTCGGGAGACGATGCAAGTCGAGACTGACTCCCTGAGACCCCGGCGATCACGCGGTACTGTATTTACAATTGCAGTTGTATGCGCCGAGAAGGAGAGCAGTACTGTCGAAAGCAAATCCGAGATTTTTTGGGTTACTCACCGTCGGAATTGGGTCGCCATCGACATGAATTGCTACCTGTAGTCTGGCTGCCTTCGTCTAGGTGGTAAATAGGGTTGCCGAGGACTTCGTAGGGGAAAGGGTTAAGCTCCTTGCATGAGGGAGCGTGAAATTTCGCTGAGATAACTGTTTACTTTCGACACAAGTCATCAATTGCATTCCGAGACGCCATTATCAAGCAGTCGTCAGCATAGAAGACAATTGAAACTCCCTCTGGTGTGTGATGGACTTTGATATGTAATAATTAAACAGCAGCTTGGAAAGGACACCACCCTGTGGAACCCCCTGTTGAATTTTCTTCCATTTACTGGTTTTGTCTCTGAAAATTACTGCCGAATTGCGACCACTCAGATAATTCGCTGACCCAAGTTTGAGTCCCTGTGAGAGTCTGAAGTGGATGACGGTGTCAAACACACAAATGACAAATCCATCGATGTTAGGACTGTTCTCTCACAGAACGGTTTCGGTTGTGTAGACGGTTGTCTAAGACGGTTGTCTAGGTGTTTATGGTGGTAAGTGCTGTTGTTGTACTGTGCACTATACGAAACCCATGCTGATGCCTGGTTGGGGTCAGGTGGTTCATATAGTATGGGAGTAGCAAGGCATAGTGCCTTCGCTACCGGGGAAAGGAGGATTGTAGGTCGATAAGACTCTCTTTTGTTAGCCCCGATATGCCGGGTTTAAGCAGGGGGACCACTCTCCCTGTTTTACAGATATCTGGAACGATGAGAGTGACCTTGGAAAAATAAGGGATCTTGAAGAGATAGTCTACTTCTGCAGAATCCAATTTTTTCAGCATCAGTATGCATATTGCGTCGGATCCAATGGCTTTTGGCTTTGGCCTTCCCAATGGAACCTGAACTGTCGGCTAAAGTAGCTCGCGCAGCGCTCCGAGAGAGATTTCCACTATGTCGTCGCGCTTCGTCGGGTTCTTCTCAGTTCTTATGTACGTTCACAAGTTGCCGAATCTCCGCGTTGAGATCCCTAATACGGGGATTTCCGGGATCGGCCTGACGAAGGTTGTCGCGCTCATCGGTTAGGGCAGCCGTTTCAGATGGAAAATTCGGGTGTCTGAAATACATCCAGCTGATGAAGCCGGCTGCAACAGCAGTGAAACCCGTGCAGAAATTACGTTCGCAAACATGCACGTCGGTTGGCGTGTTGAATTTTGCTGAAATTTATACATTTATCCACCAAAGTCGTTTGATAAAGTGATGAACTTTGGTTAAATAGATTTCCATACAAAGTTTGACAGTTCATTTATCAAAATGATAAATTTATCACTTTATCAAGTTTATCAAGAGTTTATCACTTTTGATGAAGACCCCTAACGGCCGGGTCTACGTAACCGAAACGACCCAGATTTATATTTGGCCAAGGATCGTCACTCCAACAACACTCCCCAAAACCCTTTGAGGTCCTTGTATGTTGCTACAACAACAACAACCCCTAATATGTTAGTGTTTGGCCGAGCTTCTCCTCCGATTTGTTGCGTGGGCATTGATGTTGTGCCAGAAAGGCCGTCCCTACTGTTTTACGCCAACTATCGACAGATACTTTTCTGTAAGTAACCAATTCGGTGTCTGTCGTAGAAACAACGGTCAACATTGGCTTATTTTGGGGTCAATTTTGAGCCCTTAAAGTGCTTTAGCAACTTATGATTTGCAGATATAACTTTAATTTTCGGGATAAAGGTTCTATGGGCAGTAGAAATATTGTCGTGTACAAATTTTATATAAATTTAACCAATATTGAGCATTTTAAGGCAAAAAAATTTTGAAAAAATTTGCAAATTTTTTTTTATTGCCAAAATGCTCGAAAACCGCTCGAATGATTTTATTTTTGTTTTCTTTAGTCAAAAATGCAGGTCTTTTCCTTCGTTTGGTATATAGGAAGTATTGGTTGATTCGAAGTATGTTTATTTTATTTAAATATATGGGCATAAAAGATTTTCCATACAAAATCACTTCGTCATCACTCTGCAAACACGTGCATGCGTTGGAAGTGAGAGAAGGAGACAAAAAGTATGTGCGTGTAGGTATTTCGGCTTTTGAGTGACTGATGGCGCAATATTTATAACCTAATCGTAGCGTATGTATGCAAATACATACATACGTACATATGTTGATTGCAGTAAATGTGGATTTGTTTTTCTTTTAGTAATCTATGTACATATGTATGAATGCATAATACGTGAAAACTTTTTCGTCACATCAGATCCGTACCGTTCGTTCGATTTTACAAAATGAGCTATCAAATTGAAGGGCTTGGCCTGTGGATGTGCAATAACTTATTATTTTTTTCAAAAAGTGTTGCGACCTGATAAAAAAATTAAGTACAAAAAATTTTTAAGTTAAATCAGTTATTACACTATGAGTAGCGATCGAAATGGTTTTGAGAAGGCTTTATTTCTTAACTTTATGTGGGATGCTTTCCACCTGTTTCAAAAAGCAAGTTCGACTTAAATAAAGGCAGAAAATTGAAATGTATATTCTGATATGGATGTCATACGAAAGAGGTTGTGGTTTGAAATATTTTTCAGAGGGTTGCCGCCTTGTTACAAAGTTAGGTTCAATATAAGCAATAGGTTAAATAAATTATTTCAATGTGTATGTAAATCAAAATTGCTTTGAAGAAACTTTATTTCCAAACTGCATGTAGGAGGGTTGTCACCTGATTTTATAATTCAATTCAATTTCAATTAAGAGTATTAGATAATTAAATATGTATCACAATACAAGTGTCAGACGAAAAAGGTTTAACGAGGTTTTGGTTTAAAAATAATTTGAACGGGATTGCCACAAGTTTGAAAAGTCGAATTAATTTAAGTTATATGAAATGTTGAAATATTGGCGTCAAACAAAGGAGTATGAAGAAAATTTAGTTTCACCATCTATAACATTAAAGTGGGTTTACACCTATGTAAAAATTATCAAATTATTAAAATTATTTAATAAATCAAATTTGTTATTAAAGTATGGGTATAAATTTACATGGGTGAAAAATGTTTTTTCTTAACTTTATTTAACAGAGTCGCCATATGATTTAGAAATTAAATTAAACTTTAACTAAGGGAAATAGATATACAATTTAAATATGTTTCGCAATATGACTGTCAGTCGAAGAAGGCTAAACAAGGT